TCTCTCACCTTCACCTGCCAGATAACCATGCAAGAATAAGGCCCTGAATGTAGCAGGAACTTGGATAAATAAATATATAGTGAATTAAGATATAACTGTGACAAACTCACAAACCAGCAGCAGGGGGAGTCAGCGCCCTTCCTAACAAAAAGTATCACACCACACTAATGAAAAATCAAACCAAAGTAGATGGATGGGAGCAATACTACCAGACCTGGAAGGACACTGGTTCTAGGATTCTGTGAGGTGAGTCCTAGGATGAAACTCTCCTAGGCAGCAGAAAGAGTCTGGACCACTTTCAAGAGATGTGGGTATTAATGCTGGGTCCAAAACCTAGTGGCAACTTATCACCCTTCTCTGAATGTCCTCATCTGCAAAATGAGGGCAGTGATACTTGCACCTGCAAGGAAAGTTCTTTGTAAACTTAAAAGTGCTTTAGAAATATGTGGTTGTTTTTAACAGCTGCATTAGAAGGGCCCTTAGAGAGCATTTAATCTAGCCCTTTCACTTTATTTTTTTAATTCCCATTTTTTCCTCATTTTAATTTTCCTTATTCCCAGTCTAGAATTTTTAATATTGCCTTTCAAGAAATATAAAACTCCCTTCCCTCCTTTTCCAGCTATGCATTCTCATCCATCTTTGTCATTATCCTTAAAAAAAATGTTATCTGTGGTATCTGAAGCCTCACCTGTTATGATTAAGAGCTGGGTACTAGGGATGACTGGCAAGAGCCCTATCTCATCTGGGCCCAGTTTTGTGCTCTGTTCAATGTTCATAAAGTATTGTTGTGTGAGGTTCCTGTTCCCAAGTGTGGCAAAGTACAGAAATGAATGGCCAGGGCACCCAGTGGCTTAGCTGCCTGGGTAGTCTGAGGTCTCCTGCCGTCTCCCTCTGGGTCTGTTTTGGTTGACTTTGGCTGGCGTCTCTCTGGGGAAGGCAGGCAGAAGCTCATGTGGCATTTCTGTGTTCATCTGGTCATTTGTATGTGGTCCATATGTGTATGGTACTCTGTCTGAAGCCATGACAAAAAATACATCAAAGAGGGAGTCTTGTCCCACATGGCAAAAGAAAAGAGATCTCCAAAGTCCCAACATCCTGTGGCCAATAAACTCTCTTGTTTAGAACACAAAGCTAATGCAATGAGGCCAAGGTCAAAGATTAAACTACTTAGAAGTTGGCTAGCTTAGCTCTGCCCACAGCCACTACATAGCTTGGGAGGAAAGACAAGACAATTCACAGCACATGTCATAGTGACGGGGTGGACAGCATCCTTTTTTTGTGTACAAAGGACAACACCAGCTTTCCATACACAATATGCTCACACAGGGCTGCTTCTGGCAACTGCTTTGACTCAACCCATCTGGATGAATGGAGCCAGGAAAGAGTTCAAATATCCATCCTGAGGTACAGGCAAGACTGATGCAGACTGGACCAACAAAAGATTTTGGCCACATATGAACCCATCTCAATTGTATTTACTAATTCCACTTCTTAAGTCTCCACCAAATCTAATTCAAATGCCATCTCCTGAATAAAGTCTTCGTCAAGTCCCAAAGGAATGTGAACTCTGCCTCCTCTCCACTCTCCCAGCATGGCGTCTGTACCTCTAATGCACTAATCTCATTCTATTTTGTTTCCTAGTTTTATGTGTTCCTATGTGTCTTTCTACTGGGCATTGTGGTCTAGGGGAAAGAGCATTGGACTTAGAGTCAAGAGAGACCTGAGTTCAAATCCTAACTACAGCACCCATTAATTGTGTGCCTATGGCCAAGTCATTTAACATCTCTAACCACCAGATTCCTCATCCGTAAAATGTGGATAATAACAGAACCTACCTTCATGGGGTCATCCTGAGGAAGAAATCAGATCAGGTACATGAAGTATTCTTCCAGTCTCAAAGTTCTATAAAAATGTAGGTTATCACTAACCCATTATTACTACTGGACCACAAAGTTTCTTAAGTACAGGCACTTGAGACAGCAAGAAGCAACAGGATTTGGAATAAGAAGCCCTGCTTTCAAGTCCTAGACTAGCCTCCACTTATTAATTCTGTGATCTAGGAAAACTCATTTAAACTCTGAGCCTCAATGTCCTTATCTGTCATCTGCGGGTAGCAATATATATATATATATATATATATACACACACACACATACATATATATATACACACACACATATATATACATATATATACATACATATATATATACACACACACATATATATATACACACACATATATATATATATATACACACACACACTATTTACCTCACAGGGTCTTTGTGAGAAAAAGGCTTTATAAATTGTAGATACTATACAAATCAGAATTGCTGTTATTCAGATCTGCATAATATTAGTAATTCACTTTCAAAAGTAAGGGAGGAATTTTAGTAGACTGTAAGTAAGCCCAATGAATTAACAATACCCTATGGAAGTCAAACAAACAAATAAGATCTTAGGCTATATTAATAAAGGGAAAATGTCCAGAACAAGGAAAATAAGTGTCCCTGCCCAGGTGAAACAGATGTGATATACTCTGTGACGTTCTGGTGGTCTTGTTGTAGGAAGGCTCTAGTTCAAATCTAGCTTTAGATACTTACTAGCTGTGGCACCCTGGGCAAATCACTAAATCTCTGACTGCCTCAACTTGCCCATCTGTAGGATGGGGTTAATAATAGCACCGAGTTTCCAAGGCTGTTGTAAAGATAAAATAAGATACTATTTGTAAAGTGCTTTGCTTTATATCTAAATATATATTTATATATATTATTTTCATGAACATGCAGAAGAGGGCAACCAGGCCAGTGAAAAGATTAGGAGATTGTGCCATACAGGTATCAGTTAAAGGAACTAGAAATATTTTTCCTAGAGAAGAGAAGACTTAGGAGAGAGATATGACAGCTGCCTTCAAGTATCTAAAATGTTACCATGTGGAAGAGAGAAGATTCATTGGAAGACAAAAAAGACAAAACTAAGAGCCATGAGTAGAAGTTACAAGAAGGCAAATTTCAGTTCAATTTGAGAAAAAAACTTCCTTTTAATTAGAGTGGTCCAGAATTAGGCTAGGTTGTTTTAGCTGGTCATCGGGTCACAGATTTAGAGATGGAAGAGGACTCTAAGTTATCTGATCTAGCTTCCTTTTTACATATAAGGAAACAGAGGCCAAAAGATGCGACTTGTCCAAAGACACAAAAATAAGAAGGGGTATGGGCAGAACTCAAACCTAGTTCCTACAACCCTTCTTCAACTACATCCATCTACTCTAAGTCTTTGGGCAGCAATCTGTTAGATAGTCATTTGTTGGGGAGACTATAAAGGGGCGTCTTCTCCAGGTAGAATTAGACAAGCTAACCTCTGAGCTTCCTTTCCATTCTGAGAGTCTGTGATTCCATTAATATCTTACCCAGAGATATCTGTGTGAGTCCCTAAAAATTTCCATTATATCTGTATAGTTCCCATCGACATTTTAAAATTTTTACTATGGCCACTAGTGGAACAGAGTCAAAAAACCTCAACAAGACTCAGGATGGCTCAGAGTTCTTCATATTTCAATACTTCAAACTTGTGGCCAGTTTTCCAAAGGTGACCAAATCTATAAGTTTTTCTTAGAAATCTAAAACACCTGACGAACAATGGGTTTAATGTACTAATTAAAAAGGACCTTAGAGGACATTTCCTCTCATTCTACAAAGGAAGAAACCTCAAGGCCCAAAGGAAAACTATTTGTCTGAGGTCACACAATGAGTTGGGACAAAAACTCAGTTCTTCTAATTCCCAGTCCTGTTCCCTGCCCACCAGTAATACCTAAGGCAGCTGCCTGTCAAGTCTGGTTTACAAAAGAGTTCAGAGAGACTTTATCTCTCTAAATCCTACCAGCTCCCAGATCATCTCAGTTAATTTTGGTCAGAGACCTATACAAACCCTTGGAATAGCAGCTCCTAACCACAGCTTAATGGAAAACCATATGATTTGGCATAGCCATCAAAAGGCAACACCCTAAAGCATTATTTCAAAAGCTCCAAATACACAGATTTTCCCCGGATGTTCCAAAGTCTCATCTTTCAGCCTGCCTACTCCTCCCCTTACAAGGCTTGCTCAGAAGCACTAACATATGACATTTCTTCATCCCTTCAACTGCAAGGCAGCATGAGTCTTTGGAAACCATAAATACACTCATGTCTATTTCTCCTGCTGCAACCACAACAAAGTCTAGGCAGTTTTTATTTTTGAATAAGCAAGAGGACTGTGTTTCTCCAAAATAGAACACTTTTAAGGAAATAGGATAGTGCAGTGAAAAAAGAGTATTGAACCTGTAAGCCACACAGTGCTAGTACATAGTCTCCCTTTACTTACTCTGTGACCTTGAGCAAGTTAATTCATTTTTCTGAACCTGTCTCCTCACCTATAACAAAATAGGGCTGAGGGTCAGATCCTCCAATCCTAAGGTTCCTTTCGGATTTAAAATTACAGGAGCAAAGGGAATATAAACAGGATTTAGAATTTGAAGGCACCTTAGAAATAATTTTCCAGAGGAAACTGAGAACCAGAAGAATTAAGTAATTCTAAGGCCCAGTTCAACCATTTACTAGCTTTGTGACTTTCAGCAAGCCATTCTTTCTCTATAATCTTCAGTCTTCCTCTCCGCCAAATGGGGATGATAACAATGTAAAGATCAAATGAGGCAATCAAGCGAAAATGTTCTGTGGCCACAAAGTACTAGACAGTCATAAGCCGGTATTATTTAGTGGTCCATTTAGGACAAACAAAACAGAGACCAGTCCAGGTTGTAACAGGAATGTGAATGAGCTGAGAGGACAGCAAGAGAGAGCTAGGTGCCTGGGACTGATACATCTGGACTGCGGTGACATTTCGGAATGAAAACCACCCTGCATCCCAGGGTGTGGCATCTGCAACCTGCCATTCCAAGTGGAGCCGCAAGCACTAGCCTAGGCAGGCGCCAACACCAAGGGGTCACTCTACACTTCTTATATTAACCTGGGAGGACCGGACGCAGGCCAAAGGGGCCTTTCGTGGGGGAGATGCCCCGGACGATACAGTCGAAAAGAAAGCTGATCTGCTCTCCTTCTGCGCAAGAAAGGAAAAATACACCAGCCCCTGGAAAAGAAGAAAAAGAGGACATTATCAATCTAGGCTCTTGTTTTGACAACTGGGCAAAGCATTTAAAAAAAAGATTCTACAGACACGGTGTCCTGAAGAATGCGGACTGCTCGGCACCAGAGGAAATCAGTGTGATTTGTGAGCCAAGAATAAAATGACCCAGTCTAACCCCAGCACACACCAAGAAGGAGAAGCAAAGGCAGATTCTATACTTAGTTAATCACTTCTCTAGTCCGAATACACCTCAGGAGGGAGAATCATGCAAATGAAGTGAAAAAAATTAGAGCAGCTTAAAAAATGAGCACCATAATGGAGCTGCTGGATTTTTACGTTCTCACTGCTATGTGGATCCTTAGCATTTCCCATGGCTGCTGACACAAATGATGTATCTCAGCTGAGAAAGAAAAAAACCTTCCTATAACAATGAAAACCAAAACACTTTTCTCATTGACATAACATGTCTAATTAGACGGTAAATCTTTAATTGGTGATGGCAACATGGATGGAAAATTGTAACTGTATCATTGTCCAACAAGGGGTAAAGAAGACTAAAAAATTCTTTCTTGCCCGGAATTTTGGAGCACATTCTGTTCACTCTTAGAGACCTGGGATCTAGTTAAACAAGCTATGTGACTGTGGCTAAATTCCTTCACCACTCTGAACCTCAAGTTTCTCATTTGTAAAGTGGGGAACTGGGCTAAGTGACCTTTAAAGCCCCCTCTTGCTCCCAACTTCTAGGATATCTGAGCATAGTTAGACCTAGTTCTCAAGCTTTTAATCCCAACAATTAGGGATTTACAATTTAAAACCTACAAAGCAGTTTCTTGAGGGCCACCTGCTTTTTACTCTTTATTTTATTGATCAATCAGTCCATAATCAATCAATAAACATTTTAAGTGCCTACTCTGTGCCAGGCACTATGCTAATAAACATTAGGGATACAAAAAGAGGCAAAAGACAGTCCCTGTCCTCAAGAAGCTCACAACCTAATTCTACTTTATCAACTTCATTCTGAGTCCCCTCATAACAAACACGGCCCCAAATAAGAATTGAGACTCCCTGAGAAAGCCAAAGAAGGGGCAGAATCGAAATGATGGAGTAAAAGACAAAGAAGCATGGCAGCCATCATGGTGGCACAGAGAGCTAACAATGTTCATGCATTCATTATTTATAGAACACCTACTATGATACTGAGTAAAGTCCTGGGATTGGAATAAGCTATGGTCCTGGGCCTCTTTGAGGAGGATAAGACATGGACACAAATAGTTATTACAGAGGCAAGCACATGATCAGTGTCACAAGAGAACAAAGAAAGAACAGTGGAAGCCAGAGAAATGACAGCATAGAGTGGCCCATGAGTTAAGTCTTTAAAGACTGAGAGGTGGAGGAGGAGGCAGAGGAGGAGAGATGGGCATCTAAACCCAGGAAAGAGTATGAGCAAAGGTCAAAGGGGAGAAAGCACAGAAAGCTATAACAAAAAACAATATTATAAGGGCACTACAGAAGGGGAGCTAAGTACTACATGAGAATTTTTGGGCATAGGAAAAGAGCCACAGAGGGACCATATGAAATGGTTTATAAAGTACAAGTGGGTCACTCCCCAGTTGATAAATGGTCAAAGGATATGAACAGGCAGTTCTCAGAGGAAGAAACTAAAGCTATCTATAGTCATATGAAAAAATGTTCTAAATCACTATTGATTAAAGAAATGTAAATCAAAAAGACTCTGAGGTATCACACCACACCTATCACATTGGATAACATGACAAAATAGGACAATGATAAATGCTGGAGAAAATGTGGGAAAATTGGAACACTAATGCATTGTTGGTGGAGTTGTAAAATGATCTAACCATTTTGGAGAGCAATTTGGAACTATGCCCAAAGGTCTATAAAAATACCACTTCTAGGTCTATATCCCAAAGAGATCATAAAAACGGGAAAAGGACCCACATGCACAAAAATATTTATAGCAGCTCTTTTTGTGGTGGCAACGAACTGGAAACTGAGGGGATGCCCATCAATTGGTGAATGGCTGAAAAAGTTGTGGTATATGAATGTAACAGAATACTGTTGTGCTATAAGAAATGATGAGCAGGCAGACTTCAAAAAAACTTGGAAAGACTTACACGAGCTGATGCAGAGTGAAATAAGTAGGACCCGGAGAACATTGTACACAATAACAGCCACATTATGGGATGACTGACTTTGATAGACTTGGCTCTTCACAGCAACGCAAGAATCTAAAGACAACTCCAAAAGATTCATGATGGAAATTGCTATCCACACCCAGAGAAAGAAATATGGAGTCTCAATGCAGATAGAAGCATACTATTTACTCTCCTTTTCCTTCGTTGTTTTGTTTTATTGCTTCATTCTCGTGGTTTCTTTCATTAGTTCTAATTGTTCTTTACATCACGATTAATGGGAAAATATGCTTACCATGAATGTATATATAGAACCTATATCAGATTGTACACCATGGCGGGGGGGAGGGGGAATGTGGGAGAGGGAGAAAATTTAAAACTCAAAATCTTATGGAAGTAAATGTTGAAAATAAAAACAAATTGAAAATAAAAAATAAATTAATTAAATTTTTAAAAAAGGACAGGTGGGAATCCAATAGGCAAAAGTAAGGAGGAGGGCATCAGAGGCATGGGAAACAGGATAAATAAAGTCAAGGAGGGGAAATATTTGGGGAAAGGAAGGGGGATGTTGTGGGGAGGGATAATTCTGAGGGAAGATGAACTGGGACCAGGGTTATACTGGTAGATGTTTTTAAAATGACTCTCAAAAAAAAAAAAAGTTCACACAGCACACTTTTAATTTGCCTTTTTAACATTTTCCCTATTGTTTTCTTTGTTGATTATTGATTATCTCAACAATCAACAAAACAACAAATGAAGCCCTGATTTAGAGGGTTTGCTGATTTCCGAGGTGTAAATTCTCACAATGACAATTTAACAACTGGCTCTCATGAGATGGTTTGAGCTGGTACCAGCACATCTCTGACTGGAGCAGTCAGTCTACTAGCATTTATTAAGTACTACCATTAATAGGCACTGCATTATAGTTTTGGGTTACAAAGAAAGGCAAAAGGCAATCCCTGCTCTCAAGCAGCTCACAGTCTCACAGAGGAGACAACATGCAAGCAACCATGTACAAACAAGTTATATACATAAGATACATACAAACAAGATACATATATATATACACACATACATATCTTATTCGTATATAATGTATAAGGATAAACTGAAGATAATGTACATATACATAAGGATAAATTGGATATAATTGATTGAGGGAAGGTGTAAAATTAATTAGAATTAAGAGGGATTAGAAAATGCTTCTTGCAGTAGGTGGGAGGGTATTGGATGGATGAATGGATGAAGAAAGCCCAGAGTGTGTTCTTCAGAAAACTCCATTTTGGCTGAAATAGAGAGCATCCCAACACCTCAAGAGCCTATAATTTTGGCAACATAGATACTCCATCTACTGACAGATTGTAACCTCTCTATTATTAAGGCAGGTCCTCAGACAACACGTATATGGTCAATAATTGCGCCTCTACTTGAAACCTTTCCAGCTTGGTGGAAAGCTATCAAGAATACACATAGCTATAAAGAACCTAGAGTCACATCTTTTCCATGATGAGGGGTTGTAAGACTTAAAGAAGAGGATATGGAGGTGCTTTTAATGTCAAGTACATGGAGGAGATTAATACAAGATAAGGCTGGATAGGTGGGATGATACTAGATTGCGGAAGGCTTTGAAAGGCCAGGAGAAACAGTATGAATTTTAGAGCAGGAGTTCTTAAACTGTTTGGATGTCACGGGCCCCTTTGGCAGTCTGGTGAAATCCATGGACCACCTTCTCAAATGATGTTTTTAAATACATAAAATAAAATACATAAAATTACAAAGGAAACCAATTATATCAAAATATAGGTATCCCAAAAATTGTTTTTAATAAGTTCATAGACTCCAGGTTAAGGATTCCTTCTCTAGAGGCATTAGGAAACCACTGAGATTTCTGAGCAGAAGAGTAGATAATGACAAGATTTATGGACAGGGAATGTTATTCTGATAGTGGTATGAAAGTTGGATGAGGAGGAGGCATAAAAAATGGAAGCAGAAAGACCTGTTGGGAAACTATTTCAATTGTCTAGGCAGGTAAGGATGCCTATGGTAGAATGGTGACAGTTGCAATAGAGGAGAGGGGATGGGGGCAAGAAGTGGTACTGAGGTGGAATTGATAAGTCTCTGCAACCTACTGGGCAGATATGACAGATGAGAGAGACCCACCCAACCAATGTCAGTGGGTTTCCAGCTTTCTCAAGGCATCTATTTCTTTATTGTGCAGATGACATCAAAACTGAACCTTTCCTCTCCACCCTCCTTGATGGGGATGAAAGAGAAACAAAAATATTTTGGATATAGTACCAATGACGTCATGTTTGTTTCTTATTAAATATCATAAATGAGCAACACATACTTTGTTTTAATTTCAAGAACCCACAATTTCCCCCAAACAAAGATATCAGCCCCTCTGGATCATGTTAGTGGATGAATTCATGAATTGCTATGGCCCAAAAAATTCATCCCTGTTGAACTGACCTTCCGGTGACGAGTTTCTCTGCTCTTACCTAGGCTGATCTGCAGATTAAAGTCATAGTCCATCAACAGGCCTGTCCTTGAAAGCTTTCCAACTTGGTAAAACCTACCCATGATTGTGTTCTGCTGGTAAAGCCTTTGAGAACCCAGGGTCACCACCATAGCATGATGAAGCTTTGGGTGAGGACTTCAATGAAGGAAATAAATAATTTGTGACAACAAAATACAGATTTTAGAAACTCAGGTTTCTAAAATCACTTCCAGCACTGAAATTCCATGTTCCTGGACAGTCTTACCACTCTCCCCACACCCCACCTTTAGGTGAGGGAGGTTGTCAATGGATTAAAGGGGTCAGACAACTCTTCGAAGTGAGGCACTGAT